TGTTTGCACACGCCCCCCGGAGAGCTTAGGTGCGCGTCCGGCTGGAGAGCCGCTGATTGGAACGTGGCCGAGGAACTGCTCCGTAGGCAGAATCCTGGACGCGGTGGGCGGGAGGAGCGGGTCAGCACAGGAAAGGCAGGAGCCTGAGCTCCGTGGGCCCAGTCCGGCTCACACAGTGCCCACCCGGACAGCTCCACTTCCCGCCCCGAGGAGGGACAGGAGCAGGGCAGACAGACCCGGCAGGGCAGCGCGGGTGGCTCTCGCCATGCCCCGCGCTGGAGCGATGCGCCCCGACGCACGCCAAGGCCAGCCTCACCCCGCGAGCCGGCAGGGCCAGCCTGCGCAATGGGAGCGGGCGAAGGTTGCGTCCTTCCATTCGTAGCAGAGAATCGGAAGAGACGCTAGACCTGCCCCATGTCTTCCTGTCTCATCCGCGAAGCTGGTTTCTGCCCCTCGGTGCCGCCCACCTGTGCAAGCATTTGACGCTCTCACAAAACCCGCTCCTGTCCCACGCACTGTGCGCGGCCCACCCCTGCAGCTACTAACAGGCTTCAAGTACCGCGTGGGCCCCTCGGCCCTGGGAGCAGACATGGTGGCCGTCCCCCGCCCGCACGAAACGCTGTCCTGTCCGGAAACAGAGAGCAGCGCCGCTGCAGCGGGAGGGGCTCCTCAGCGAAGCCCGTTGCTAAGCAAAGCAGCCGCGGAAAACGCGGTACAAAACAAATTGCTTCGCTTTGCCCAAAACAAGCTGTCTTATGAGGTGAATGTCTTTGGAAACTCTTTGAATGGTTAGGAACTGGACCAGTGAAATGAACCTTAACAGTAAACCTTGAGCGTTTTTCTGGTGTTGAAGTTGGCCCACATCTTAGCATTACTTAAGAAAATTCACGCTGAACAACTTCATGCGCCTGCTGATTTGCTTGCTAGTGGCATTTTACATACTGATTATTGGGGGCTATTGTTGTAGAAATAAAATGATGCTCATTTCTTCTAGAAGGGTTAGGGGCCCTGGAGGATTTTTTTTGAATGCCTAAGTGCATATGTGGGTTACGTTAACCCAAAACTGGGCGTGTTTTAAAGATGTCGTAACTGTGTTGAGAGGACATGATGGAAATTTTATCTTTCATTCTTTCAGTCATGCAATCGGCCCTGGGGTGTGCCGTGCACAAACGGTGTAAGGCCCTCGGGACTTCCTCTAAAAGCTCGTAAAGGACAGGTTGTCTGACTTATTTGAGAACAAAACAAAACAAAACAAAACAAACCCTCTGAGCCAAAGACCATGCTAAGTCCTAGGATGCGGTGGTGAACAAGAAACAAAAGCTGTTATTCTCCTGATCGCCGGCCTGGACTCGCGCCTACAAGGCCGCGTCACTCTCGCTTTTCTCTGGTCCCCTCTGCAGCGACCAAGGACTGGGGAGGAGATGGCTGAGAAGCTACGGGGCCGGCACAGCACTGAGCTCTCTCCGGCCCCTCTCCCCAGCATTGGGTTCTCCCTTCAATCCCCAGCTCTTAATTTCTGGTTTCTTTAACCTGTAATGGATCTGCATTCTCTTACGACTTTCAAGTTTTATATGCTGCCATTAAAGCCTCTATTCCCCTGCTTTGACGACATTATTGTATTTTCAAGCCCCCAGAACATAGTCTCGGAGTTTGAATTATGAAAACTCGCCCTAGTTTTTCCACTTAAAATGAGGTGCTGCAGTAAAACCCCTTGCCTAGTAGTTGTAGCCCACTTGTCTTCCACCAGGAACACATTCTGAGTTCTTAAAAATCATGCAGCATAATGCAGTACACATAGTAGGTGCTCAATAAAGAGTAAAGGCAATGCATAGCTGGAAGGCATATTGTAGGTTCTCTGGTCCGAGCCTCCTGTGTCAGATATGAGGAAACTGAGGCTTAGACGAGTTGAGTGGGTTCTGGAACCCACTATGGGCAGTTGGAACTGGAATCCACATCTTTTGACTTCTGATTCAGGATTCTTTCTGCACAAACTCGATGCCCCAAATGTAAGCCTCTAACAAATGCTTCCAAGTGTTACGTTCCTGGCCTCATACTCATCTTGCCATGGCCTGTATTCTAACCTGGCTAAATATCCCTGTTTCGGCACTTCCCATACCTTTGTTTGTTTATTATTTAATAAATATTTACTCACTGCCTTCTAGTCCCATCATACTAAATGCCAAAGACATGTAATAAACGTAGAATATGTCGTCCCTGCTCTCAGGGAATCTACTGGGGAGACCCGGGCAATAATCTAGAAAATGAATACATGATTAAAAACAGGGCTAAGCGCTATGAAGTACACAAACATCATGAAGCGATTGGGGTGGTGGTGAGGAAGGGCTGAGGAAAGACATCTGAGCTGAGAACAAAAGGATCCGAAAAGAACCCAGTTTGCATTCCTTTCTCCCTTTGGCTGCAGTCCTTGGTCCAATCTCTCACATGTGCGTGAAACAATTTCCAACCCACCATGCCACGCTATATTCTGCTTGTCACTGAATTTATAGTTTAAGGGCCACTTTTTTTTTCAAATAAAATTCTCTAATTGAGTCTAACCCATTATTGACTCTTCTAGTAGAATTTCCCTTCTTTAAGTTCAAATTCTGGCCAATCCCCTTGCCACCGCCTCCTCCCTGTCCCCCATAACTGCTTAATGGCTAAGAATATATTTCTATAGTTACGTGACAATTTATTAAACTCTGTGAGGCGAGGGAGCCTACTATTTAGTATTCATTTCAAGCATCTGCTAAAGAATTGAGCAGTCAAATACTTTATATAGATAGAGTTCCCAGGGGTCTAAATCCTACGCATCACTGTAGTTTTTTATTTGGTGGTTTGGTTGTTTTTCTATAACAATCATTTACTAACAAGTACCTTTGTATCACGGAAAGACCCGTGGTATCACAAGCGTTTATCAGTTATTTCTCACCCTCAGAGTAACTTCCACCTGCTCAGTTGTCAAACACACAGGGGCTGGACGACAGGCACTAAGATGAAGACTGAAGGAATGTGAAGATGAGTAAGACATAGCCCATCTCTCCCTGGGGGAGAGAAACGTGCTCCTCATGGGGATTCAGCGTGACGCTGCGTCATGCGGATGCAGAGAAGCCATGTGCAAAGACGGGGGCGGGGTGGGGGGGCAGGCAGGGAAGAGTTCACCCAGGTGGGCCCTGCGGATGAAGGCCAGGTCCGGTCGATGAACAAACGGACACAGATGTAACATGATGCTAAACACTGTATGTAACACATTATGTGGACATGACCTCTGGCCTCTAGAACCATCACATCAAAGGGGAAAACGATGCAGTTTCAAGATTCAGGACATTCGTTAAACAAACGTGGCCTTTTTAAATGAAAAGGAGCACCCCGCTAGTGAAAGGCCAGGGGTGTTCTACATGGGCTTAAGTAAAAAGAGGATTGTGGGAGGGTTTTCCCCAGCAGGGAATGGCCAGAACATTTCAGGCGGTCACAGTAGCCAGTAGCCTTTCTGCAGGAAGATGACCGGCTTGTTTACTCCAGTTAAACAGCTAGCATTGATCGCTTTAGCTTTGTTACTGTGCCTCAAAAGTATCGCCCATTACACATTCAAAAATTGAGTACTTGCTTAGTAATAAGACGAGTGTGAGATGTTAAACTGGAATGCACCTCCCCGAGGAAACTTTCCTCCTAAGCCACTCAGGCATTTTTTAGGTGCAAGAGGCAAAAGGAAGTCTGCTAATATCTATGAGTTGGTGCCTTCAGTGGTTGGTATTTTTACCATTAATCGACAATATCTCTTGTGCTTTGATTTTTCTCTTGAGTTCCCTTGAGCATCTAATTTTATTTTGTAGCTTTGTGATTATTTTTTTTTAACATGTCATGATTGTTTTCTTTAACTTTTTCCAACTTCCCTTCTTCATGCCTGAGAAAGGACATTTGATTTGATCAATTTAGTATTTGCGATAGAGAAGAAAATCCCAGGTTATCCCTGAAGGGGTCTTTCTGAAAAAATTCAGTAGGAGAGTTTTTTTTTTGAGAAGAAACCTTTCTCCTTGAAGACATTTGTAGAATTTCAATTGTAGAATTTTGTTGATTATAAAAATCACTCCCCAAGGTACTACATAGGAAGTCAACTACACACAAAAAACTTACTAATACACTTAGGAAATAAATGTGGAGGTTCAGGAAGTGAAGAGTATTACTTGTTAAAGTTGAGATTATCGGGTACAAGAATATTACATTACCCTGAGTCTGTTTATTCAGAAACCTCAGCTATCAAAACACCATTACTAACCAGAAAATAAGCAAAATCACTACTAGTAATAAAACTCCTAGGACCCAAGATGGGAACGTGAGGCTATGCAATTCACTCAGGTACCCAGGTCCTCAGGGACTTGGGTACTTGGATACTCAGTACTAAGGGGCTCGGGTACTTGGGCGCTCACCCTGAGCCCATTCGCACGTATTGTAGAGAACTCCAAAACCCTTGGTCCTCTGATCGTCTAGCGCCCTGCAAAACGGAAGTAGATACGGAGCAATTTGGAGGACGCTACCCCTAAAGTCAGCGAGAGGTGATCGCTCACATCCCGACGGGAAAAAGAGGAAGATGTTACCACCTAAGGGAGATGGGGATTCAAAACCCTGCCGCTGGGAGGCCTCTGACTGGCTCCTGGAGGAAGCCTTCGTGGTTCCCCCCGCTGCCACCTGCATGGGCTCACACTGTGGTGTTGAGACATGCAGTGTGTTTCACATGGCTCCTCGATGATTTTCTGTTTGCATTAGCATTGGGAGGGAGGACTTCTGTTTCCAGAAAGATTTGCATCTGAAAAAAGCCCTCATTTTTGTTTTAAAAAACGCAGGGTGAATGAAAGAGAACAGTGTTAGACTTGTCACAGGCGACGACCCGTCCTGCTGGCCTGTCTGCATGAGCATGTGGGGGACGGCTCCTTCCCGTGTCTTTGGGACAGCCTGCTGCTCGCTCTTCTACCTGCTTCTTGACCTCTCTCTTTCTCTCTTTCTAGCCGGAGACCACCCCCATCACCAACTCGTCCCACTATAATCCGTCCACTAGAGTCCTCCCTGTTAGACTAAACGAAGTGTCTGGCATGGCAGTTCATGACTAATGAATCATGCGAACGCACACACTTGGTAACCGTTGCAGTCGATCATGGTAGTCGCATGTGCGGACATCCATAGGCAAGTAGCCCCGTCTCACTAAGGCCCCCGTCACCCCTCCGCGTTGCTCCTGGGACGGCAGACCTCTGGGGTTGACTCTGTGGAGTCCTCGAGGCTCTCTGTGTTGTCTCGGCCCAGGTAGGTTTGTGCGGCAGCCATGTCCTCTGGGGAACGTTTGCCTGCCCTTGGCGTCTGTCTGAAATCGCTTTGGACGAGTTTCCCAGGTTACCTTCCAGAGAGCCCATTAAGTATAATTCTTAAGAGATCTCAGATGGTGGGCTTAGACCTAAGCCATACATATTTCTTTTCCCACATTCTGTTTTGGTTGACAGAAAAGATACTGTTTATTATTAATGTTTCTGTCTACTCCATAATTACCCATTTGTATCCTTTCCTTCCTCTTTATTTCATAAGACTGCTAGGAAGTGATTTTTTAAAATCAGGGTTTCTTAAGAAGAAAGCTTTTCCAGAAGTGCAAGGTAGTTTGCAAAGGAAAAGTGAATGCATTGCTTGTTCTAGAGGCTTCTCCTCAGGCCAGTGTGGTTTTTGTTTTTTTTTCATGCTAGAAGCTCATTCAACAACACACTGGAGCTTGTTTTTTTCTGTAATCATCCAGCAGATTTGACTAGTTAATTTCAGAATTCAGGAAGAAGCAAAACATCACATCGCTAGAAGTATCTGGAAAATGTAATTTCTTTATTCATTTATATAATCACCTCCTCATAGGTTACAGTGAAGGCTGACGTGGAGAATTATTTTTTTTCCCCAGATTCATCCCAATTTTAGGCACGGCTGACTACACTTTGACACTAACTCCAGTTTATGTATTTATTTGGTTGGTTGGGGCAGAAATATTCCTCTCTTTCTCTAATACGTAATTCCCTTATGTAAAAATGTAGCGTACCTTTAAAACAGGCTTAAAGTAACTTTCTATCCATTCTAGGCTTTCTTAATAATTCGTAAGCCTTGCTATGGGATAGCCCTATTTCAAAAATGGGCCCCGGAATGAAAAGAAAAGTCATTTCGTTTAAGAGCAGAGTTCACAGCTTTTATAGTTGCCCAACTTCAGAGTCTTGATCCGGGTCATTCCAGAGAAGCGTATTAAGACATGGAGATCTAAAGCAAATGGGCAAATTCTAACTTCTGAAATGTACAAGAGCCCTTCTTCCCGGGGGTTAATAGTTCAGTCTTGAGGCTGAGTTTTGGACGACCTCGGACCAATGATTAGCACGTAGGAAACAGCCAGAAGCCAACTGGCATTTTGCCGGCGGACTGTTCCCAGACAGCAGACCAAGGCTTCCCTGCATAGCGGTGTCCCGCGACGCTATTTCATACTCTGCCGAAGTAAATCAGGTTTCACCAACTGAAGTGTCTCCCTTTGAAAGCGGCAAACATGATTTGTATGTTAACTTAACTTTAATTTCCTGTGTAGTTTATACCCAAAGCAGACACCCATAAACTATGAAGTAAAAACTTTCAGCCGTTATTAAAAAGAGAACTCGCTGAGCTGAATGGCGTTGTTCTAAACTTGTTCTAAAGGGTTACGGCTAGCCCACTTAGGCAGAACTCAGAGAGTTCAAGATTCGTTAGAAAGGGCATTTCAGCTTTTAAGTTACATGGGATTGTATAAAGATCACCACCTTAAATCTTCTCATATCTTATTTTTTTTTCCAGCAGAAAAAAATTAACTTTGTGAAGGGAGCAGATGGGCAAGAAACACACTGTATTTTAAAAATAGTGTCACCGCTAAATGGACATATGTTATGTAAACATCCAAAGTGAAATAAATAATCTACAGTGAGATCTTTTTATAAAATCCCCTCTTTTAAGGGTTCCCTTTGCTTCTTCCTTTGAATTCTCAGAAAGAGGCAGCTCACGGAGTATATACTCCAGGGTTTGGCTTTGGGCTCTATGTGGTTTGCGTTTTGCTGCATTTCAAAAATGTCCTTCTGTTCAAGGAAAATATTGTGGACAGCCATGGGTGTGTTCTTAGCTCAGCACAAACCGTGTCAAAGAAAATTGGAGACTCTTTTTCCGGGTTTCTTTCCCCTGATCTAATGCAGTCGTAAACAATGGCCTTTGTCCTCTGTGGCTCCTGCTCTCAGATTGTTACCCCCCAGTCCCACTGTCCCAGCTGCCTCTCCCGTGGGTGTGTTTTTATTCTAGTTCACGTCTGCATTGCTTCTGACGGGCCCCGGCCCCCCTGGAATTTCAGCCGGCGTGGTGGAGCGTGTGTTCGGTTCGCCACAGTGCCGTGTCATGTGACTGGCACTGACCCCATTTCCCTGAGGGTTTGCGTCCTGCGAAGGGGAGGCGTCCGTGTCGATGTGAACAAAGTCGGGGACGCTAGGACGTGGCCGGCCTGAAGTGCAGCGTCCCTGTCAGGCCTTCAGACGGGGATGGCGTTTCATGTGCTTCCTGAGGGTTTCCTGCTCCACGTCAAGTCTTTTGTAGCCTCCCCAGAACCCCGATGTGGCCTACGTAACACACGGAGCTCTGTCACGTCTAGTATAACGAGATAAAACAGTGTTTCAGGATTTGGAAAAATACACTGTCTATTTGATAGGTAAATCTATTTCAATGTCACAGGCTAAATCTTGCATGCTTATTGATTAATTGGAATAACTGTTTACTCAACTGTGGACAGATTATTGAAATAGTGTTAATTTAGAACAGCTATATTGCATTTCCAGAAATCATCTACCCAAATGACTCTGCCAAATATTGCTTTTAGCTGTGTTTTGTAACATAGCAGAGCAGTGGGGTCTGTTTATTAGCAAATTGCCTAGGTGTTCAGATACAAACTCACCTATTCCAAAACTGGTTATAATGGAACCAGTTCCTGTGGTGTAACTATAAGCCTTCTGAATTTAGGATTAAAAAGTAGTCATATAGATTAATTTTATGACTTTTTAGTATAGCGTTAACCATAATTCTCAAGTATGAAATGGGACCTAATACCAGTATGTGATAAATGTTGATGTTTTCTGTGTACAAACATATTTTCTATGCATGTGTCTTTATGTATTACAGTATATACATAGTGCATTTGTTTCTGTGAGTACATGTATTTTGTACCCCTTTGGGTAGGTAGGTAGGTCTAAAAGCACTTGTTAAAAATGCCACAAGCATGAGTGTGATTGTGTGTGCACTGTGTATATGTGTATGTGTGTAAATATTTATGCGTACGTGTACTCTGTATGCGTGGGTATGAATATGTTTTTTAAACTGGGCCAGTACCGGAGGCAGCTTTGGAGGATCTGCTATAATGCGCGGTAACAGCAGTTCACGCCTCCCAGCGTCTGGGAGGTGTTCCGAAGTTTCTCCAGGTCGTGGTCATTCTGAGAGGCACAAAGCTAAGCGTCACCACGACAAACATGGTGGAACAACGTCCGCCGGCACTTACGCCTAAGCCCACAGCACTGCTGTCTAAGAAGAGATAACAACCTTTCCGATGTAGTTCAGTCAGAAGTGTGAGATCTGGAAACCTTCCTTAGGGTCTCTAATTATCCTGGGATTGCTGAGCTGAATCTTAAAAAGCTAAGTTGGTCTACGCAGTCATCCTTTCTCTATGGTAACTGTTAAAAAAAAAAATAGAAGTGGAGGCATACAGGAATACAGCAAAAGAGGTGGATCTTTCTGCGTAAACGGGCTAAAAATGCAGAGGAGGAGTTTCTTAACACCTTAGAGGGATGTCATCCGTCCTTTTTGCCAGGCAAACATTTTTTAATTGGAAAGCAGTATAATCATTGGGAAGGTCAGGCATCTCCTTACTGCTGAGAATGAACCCCCCATAGTAGGTCGCCACCTGTGGAGCTCCGTGGAAGGAGACAGCGTGTGAGGCAGCAGTTTCGTGCCACTTCACCGAGAGGCCTGCTGGCTGCGAGCACAGAGCGTGATGTGAGTGAGTCTGGCCGGTCTCAGAGAAGCGGTGATGGCTTCACGCGGTGGCGCAGTCCTGTCCTGAACAGCGCGTGTGTGTCTCCTGGTTCATGCTAAGTCATCCTGTCTGGGTGGTGTGTTTAAAATTATCAGGTGCTCTGTATTGTGAGCTTTAGGAATGTTTGGAAGCTGTGTAGTGTGAGCGGCTCTGTTGGTGTACAGGTGCAAGGATGTGTGAGTGTGCGCGGACGGGAGTCAGGAAGTTCAAGGACAGGCTCTCACTGGACGTTGGTGAGACTTCCCGCCTCTCTGGCCTGGGGTGCACAGGTGGCTCAGCTCAAGGCGTTCATTACTTTAATGTTTACCCTTGAATTCCTCAGACTTTGCTCACTGTGTAATGTTTTTTAAATTATGATAAAAATGACTCTGCCCTCTTGCATCGTCTGCTGCCGCCAGTTTGATGAGAAGTATTCCTCCCAACTGAATATTCCACCATTACTTGATTTGTGTTCGATTTCATGTGTACAGCCTGTGTTTTGCCTGCTTGTCTGTGTTTATTTTCACTCCCTTTTTTAAAATCGAATTCTTTCTTTTGCCTTTTTATGAAGAAGCGGTGTACAGAAGCAAAATCTTGTCCTCTCTGTTGATTCTTTGGTTAATTTGAGCCAGAACACTTTCCACTGTCTCCTTGGCACTTTGGGGTTTCTTAATGCTGATTTATGGATGGGCTTTGTAAATGGAACTTTTGAAGCCAGGTCCTAAAGTCTGTATCATCCTTGAAGGTCATATGTACCTATTGTGAAAATGTGAAGCTGTATTTCTGAACCTGAAATAAATGATAACATTTGAAGAACTCCCCCTTCCTCATTTTTTTGTATGTATCTGAGTCATTTCTATGCATATCAGTAAAGTTATGAGACTTCTAAATATGTATAACTCTTTTGATCAAATCGGCCCAGAATCACCAGCACGGAAAATGAAAGCATTTGGCATTATTTTCATTAATTTGGGGAAGAATGAGATTTTTGAAGGGAGCAAACGGGAACCATCAAAGGCAGGAGCGTGGGAGACATTTTAGTTCTGATTTGCAGTTATTGTTGGGCCGGACTGGAGAAGGCCCCAAACCTCGGAGAGCTGGGGGTGCGATGTGACACCCGCCAGAGGGCACGGTCACATTTTGTTCCTGAAAAGGAAGTGTTCGTGGAAAACCCCGGGGAGGAGGAAGAATACTTGGCTCAGGTGCTAGGTCCACAACAGGCATTTCTGCCAGAACATACTGAGCTGCCGCCGGGGGCGCTGTCCTCCTTGCTGGGCTCAGCGGGGAGATGTGGCCACTCTCCGTTTCCCGATGTTAAGAGAGCGGAAGAGCGTCCCGTAGTTACACGCATCCTTGTCCTAACTGTTTCTGGAGAACAAAGACAGCCTCTTCGCTGAGTTTTGCCGACGGGGCCCTCCCCGCAGGCCGGGTCCCAGACTGTGCCACCCGCCGGCAGAGGCGAGAAGGAACCGGGCAGGGGAGCGCTCTTTGCTTGCCGCGCGTCCAGGACCGGCTCACGGTGATCGGGCACAGCGGAGACACTGCTGCGCGCATCCACGCCGCCCTGTGGTCCCCTCTGTCTCCCATCTCAATGTCTTCCTTGACTGGAGACACCAGCGCCTGCAAAGGAAGCTTCTTGCTGGCGAGGGGGTTGGGGTGGGAGCTGGGACGCGCACATTGTGCACGTCTATCTTAGGAATAGTTTCTGATGGAAATCACCACAACCAAGGGCCACACCGTGACTGCATGGCAAATGTTCATTTGTATTGTTAAAATAGTACTGGCACCAGTGGACAGAGCTGCTTGATTGGTCTTCAAGGGTCTTGTTTTTCCGCTGGAATCTTTGAGCTGGGTGCAGGGGAAACACCTCCGGTGCTGGGCGCGGTCTCCCCGGTCCCGCCTCCCGGCCCAGGGCACCTGCCGCGGTCACTGTGAGGGCCAGGCACTGGTGCTCACACTCTGTGGCCACCTAATCGTGGGAACGCGTGCAGCAGACACCAGCTGAAGCTCCCAAGGTGCGTTCCATGAGGTTTTAACAGGCGTTGCACACACCTACATGAAGAGTTTCTTGGTTCAATGGGAAACACTGACTAGAAATTAGTTTTTGGTTTGTTTGTTTTTTTTTTTACTGGAAGACCACACAGAAGCTTAAACATCAGGCAGCATTGGGAACCCCCAACAGAGGGCTCATGTCTTCTCGGTTCTCAGAGTCACCCGCCCTCGATGCTGTGTTCACAGAGCATCTCATGGGACAGGCGTCTGGGCACACACCTTAGCACACAGTACCTTGGCGGTTTTAGGCCACAGGGAGAAGGCGTTTGAGGCGACCATCCCAACAGAGGCTGTCGGCCATGATGGCCACCAGAGCACATGGCCTAGGACAGTCCTGGGGCTCTGGTGCTTTGTCATGGGGGTGTCTGGACCCCCAGCAGGAAGTCCACATGGGAACAGAAGCATGAGGCAGGTCAGAGAGGAAAAGGCAGTGAGCCCTAGCGAGCCGTGCGGAGGATCCAGATAATTTGCAATAATGCCTTTTCTCTCCCGCTCTCCAAGAAAGAGCTCCTTTATATTAATTCCATCACCCCCATTTTCTTCTTGTGAAGGAAGGGATGCAGGCTGATTTCAAATTCAAGGGCATCAGAGGAGAGCTGAGAAGGACACCTATCGGTGTGGGCACCTATGTGTGTGCCCAAGACTTCAAGCTCGACTGCTGCTCTGGGATGTTAATTCTCCAAAAGATGAGCAAAGAAAGCAAGGAGAGGGGGTTTGTGAGATTGTGACAGAAAAGAAAAAGTTCTAAGGAAGGCCTTCCCAGGGTCCTGCCAGAGGAACGTCACCCTAAGGCCAGATGGCCGCGTGGAGGCCGATCCGGGGGGTTGGGAGTAACTCATCATTCTCGGTCGCAGTGGAGTCTTGTCTGTGCAGAGTATGCCCATGCTCTGCACACACAGCTTCTCCTGTCTCCTCACCGTCCTATTCTGGCTGAGCAATTTTGTGAAGTTACTTTCCAGAAAGCTTAGGGAGGTGTGGCATGGCCGGGTGGCTCAGTTGGTTAGCGCATCATCCTGACACCTTAGAGTTGTGGGTTCAATCCCCCATCAGGGCACATATGAGATTCAACCAGTGGGTGCATCAATAGGCGGAACAACAAATCGGCATTTCTCTCTTTCTCCCCCTCTCTCCCCCCTTTCTCCCTCCCTCTCTCTCTAAAAAAAAAAAATCAATAAAAATTTTTAAAATATTTGAAAAAAAGAAGGCATAGCCTAAAATCGTCATCTTGAGTAGGTAGGTTTGTTAATATGGTGAACACCACCATGATGAGTTCTGAAGTTTGTTAGCAACTCGGTGTCGCGTTCAGCACTCCGACGTCTATATTAGAGGCAGCAACAGCATGGGGTGCTTTTGAAACTCTTCATATAAAAGGTCGAAACATTTTCAGGACCTGCTTTCAAGCACTTCTGCATGGTGTAAGCAATATAGAAAATTCTAGAAAAGACATAGCAAAACCCGAACTGCTGAGATCATGACAGAATGGACTCAGCCAGTGTGTGGCGTCTCCACCAACACTGCTTTTCCAGCACCAAGAGGAAAGTTAGACGCAAGATACATGAAGAGGGAAAGACAGCTGTCTGAGGGGTAGACGTCCTTCTGAGGTTGGAAGCAGACGTTCTCGCCGTGGGCGCCATGTATTCCAGGACGCGGCGTTTCTGGCCCTGGGTCTGGATCAGAACACCGAACTAGCTCTAACAGGAAGGTGCTCCGGCACGGCAAACAGAGTGGCCCCTCAGCACAGGACGCGCTGCTCCGTTTAACGGCTCACCCCCCACCCCCCACCCCCCACCCCCCGCCCTGCCGAGGTAATTACAGCGCTCCAAGGCCCCTTCCGAACTCCGAGCTAGTTTCTGTGTGCTGGGCAGGTGGTAAATCTCGTGCAGCTTGACTGGAATTTAATTACACTTTCTTCATGTAAACCCCAGGGACGCCCCTTACCTGGACCCCAGCAGCTAAAGGCTGGCAGAACCCCCGCAGTTGAAAGGTTAGGTGCCAATAACAAGTTCTCTATCATTTGAGTGGAGGGGGGTCTCCTTACGGTAGCCAGCTGAAACTGGACCAGAGAAAGATTGGTCTTGGACCTGGGCGAAGGTAACATCATTTGTTTTTGTTGTTGTTTTGTTTTTTTAAACAATGCACAGAAATAGCCCCGTCATTTTGGCTCCTTTAACGTCTCAGAAAAGGTGAAAAAGAAGTTTGTTTTTGTGTTTGTTTTTTTGTAGACCTCACTGCTCTACTCACTGAAGTGTTACCAGAGTAAGACGGCAGTGAGTATGTTGTCGGACCTGTAGATTTGTTGCCCCCGAGAAGTCCCCCTGGAGGGTAGGGCGCTGACCGG